AGATGAAAGGTCTCAGAAAATTTATTTTTCATTTAGCATTTGGAAAGAATATAAACTTGAAATGTGTAATTTTTAGAATCATGTGAAAATAATTGTGAAAATTTTCACATGGAATTTATGTGACAACAATGTGAAAAAGAAAACTTCCATGAAGAAACCAATTTATAAAACTCACATCTTTATAAAGTTTTCATTTAATACAATGCTACCATTTTAATTGAATCCTGTGCATGGGAAAGGGTTTTAGCAGGGAGTAGGGAATGGTGAAATGATGATTTTTTTGTGACCACTCACCTTTAATTCTGGGGAAAGTGCTCACTATATGACAAATGTAAATCAAGATCATTATTCTTCAGTCACAGATGATTTCCTAGATTTGAGAACAAGGTCTTTAATGGATGAAGAAAGTTCCTGAAGCTCTTTACGAGTAGTACTGATGATATTTTCTTGTTCTTTGTCTAATTCATCACCCAAAGCATCGACTCCCTGCCCAGTCTTCTTATTTTGACTGACTAATTGCTTTACAACCAAACCTTGATACTTTACCAAAAGACAATGCTGATCCTGTGAAAAACGAAAGAAGAAAAGTTAACAACACAATTTGATTTTCTATGGGACAGATAAAGTCGAATGTGTTCACCCAATACATACTGAGGTTCTCATCTTTACAAAATGCCAGTCATGTAAGTAGAAAGCCAAATCGAGCTGGGTCCCTGCTCTCAAGGAGTTTATAGTTTAGGAGAGATAAAATATGAATGCAGATCACTTTATCCTAAGTTGATTTTGCTAGGTTCTATCACCTACGTATGTGATATATACACACACAGGTACATACACATGTACATATAAACACATATGTACACATATATTAACTATATACTTAAATATAATATACACACATATGTAGGTATATAGAGAGAGTGCCAAAAAAATGTATACACATTTTAAGAAAAGAAAAAACTGTATTGAAATTATAATATTCAAGTCACATTTGACTTCTGCAGTCACAGGAGATACAGTATACAAGATAACAAATGTTAATGGTATATATTGAGAATTGCAATTTCAATACAGTTTTGTCCTTTTTTAAAATGTGTATACATTTTTAGGGCACCCTCTGTAGACATAGTCAAAATGATAGGAAAGTTCAAAAAAGGCAAATTACTTTTAATTGAGCAGCTTTTCAAGAGAAGCTATGCAGGACAAAACTTTTGAGCTGGCTCTTGAAGTGTAACTTAAACTCAGAGAAGTTAAATGGCAGATCTGACATTCTTCTCAAAGGTTTTTTCCAAGTTAAAAGATATTCTTTACTATGGATCTCAGAGGAACCTGAAAGATTCTTGAGCTATATTGAATTTTTAAAATTAATCTCTTGATTCAGTTCATGGTCTTAGAAGCAGGCAGATGATGTTAAATGTTTTGTTCCTGCGTATTGACAATAATTCCTATCTATGCACTCAAAGTATTCAGAATCTAAATCTTGAAAAGTTTCAAGTGCATTAAAAATATAATACCTCTGGAATTTTATTATTAAGAAAAGCAATGATCTGTGGGACACATCTTCCAGGTGCATGGAGCATGGTGTGGGTTGAGAACTGAAACAACAGCACTGAGGTGAGGTGCAGAATGAGAGCAGGGTCTTCTGTGACTTTCAGCTGTTCAGCCAGTGCTTGTCGATGTTGAAACAGTATCTGCCTAAACAAAATTAACAGTACACAAATGCATTATAGCAAACAAGTTCTCATCGATTTCAATCCACTCCTCTGTATTCATTTTTAGCTTCTCTACTTTAAATCATCTAATTTTGTAAATGTTTCAAGGTAACTTTTAAATATGGGATATACACACAGACATACAACCCTAAATAGCATGGACAGACTAGTATGCTAGAAAATTAAGGAAAAAGCTATCCAGTAGGGATACTCAAAGTATGCTTTCTGCTTTGAGTTGCTGGAGATCAAATAAAGGTATACTGACTTAGATGAGGTTTCCTGTAAGGACGGTCCCAAAGCTAACAGAAAGCATTTGGGTTCAACTACAGGATAAGAAACTCTGCTACCTTAACTGGAGGGTCAGAGAGGAATATCTAACTATACAAAGAGTGTGGTATGTAGATACAGTTCTCTGTGCAGGAATCATAGAGTCAGATTCAAATTTCATATATGGAAAGTCCCATATTTAAGAATATTAATAATATAGACTAATTTAATGTTACCTTTCTCTTTTTTTGTCTCCTTTTTTGACCATAACATCACAAGCTTCTGCTGCAGAATCCAGACAAGAAAGAAAATCTTCTATGCTCTGAAAAGGTATTTAATAGTGTAATTTATTTTTATATGCAGGTGTCTGAAGAAATATAGCCATTTAATACTGTTTTGTAATTTATACACAAAACACAATTTTTAAAGGGGTCTCTTTGTCATTATGTTAGAAATTGTGCTTTAGGACTAAAAAGGGTAAAACCCCTGTCATGGTTCCCCCCTCACCTCTTAAAGAGGTGATTAAGGGCAAAATACTGTTTTAGATAATCATTCTGCTGAAAATCTACTCAAAGGTCTTCGTAACAAAAACTTCTAGCCCTGAGATCTATAAATGGAATCAAACTTTACTTACTTTTTCATTCAGAGAGTTATGGAGTTTTGTGAGAGACACTTTGGTTTCTTCTGACAGTTTACTTAAGATTTTTTTTCTTACCTGTAGGAGAAAATAAAAATTCTTTCAGCATTGTGCTTTTGACAAGCAGTAGATCGAGTGAGAAAAAAAAAAGTACATTTATTACTGTAACAAATTGTTGAGTGAATTTTAGATTTTCAAATTAGGGATAAAAATGTGCTAAAAACATTCTCCAATCAGAGAGGCAATCGCAGCCAGTCAGCCTAGGCGGTGAGATAGATCCAGCCTTACTCCTTCCCCCTGCTGCAGCAACCTTTGCCGGAGGAACCTTCTCAAACCCCCTCTCCACATACACGTGTCCAGTGAAGGTTAGTGGCTTTCTTCTCCAGAGTCTTTTTAATTTCTTCCAGTGTTAATTTAGGGAGGAGCCTCGCTGAAACGACTAGACAGCAGGTTCTGAAAGGCACAGCCTGTGTGGAAGACAGGGTCTGTTTACTGCCTCTCTGTGGCCCTTGAAGGGCCTGGATCAAAACCTCCTGTCTTCTCTCAGCAGACGACGGGTACAAGAGCAGAGGGCCAGAATCTTGCTAGGGTAGAAGGGAAAGATAACTGTCCCTCTGTTTGGGATTTTTTTCTTAAAATGGGAAGTCACATGAAACTAAACAACATTCCAAGAAAACAATCTATGTTGCCTATGTGGCAACAACCGCCCCCACCAGAGGCCAAATCAGACTGCTTTGGTTTGACCTAATCAAAGTAGTGATATACAGCTGGTCACCTGAAGACACTTTTACCTCCCTCATTTTTCCTAAATCTTCAATCTTAAGTGGACTAGAAGGATGAAAAGGAAGAAACAGGAGGCAGGAGGAAGAAGGAAAGGAGTCCTTGTCATTGTCATCGCCTTAGGGACAGACCACACCTTTCCTCCTCTGGGCAACTGGGAGCCATTTGTTCTATACGTGTCAAGAAGGGAGGAGAGAAGCATTTGAATTTAGTCTGAGATTATTAAAATTTTAAAAAATTGAACTAGAATTACTCTAAATACTGAAATGAGATGATGTCATTAAATGAAAATAACTGTTAAGTTATGAAAACTGGCCAGAAAGTTAAGGGACTTGCAAATCATTAGGAAAAAGGGGGACACGATATTAATAATGATTAGGAAAAAAATACTGTTTATTCTAAAGTAATTCCTCATTGTTACTATTAATAGACTGGTTGTATTACCAATCCAACTAGCAATTGTCTATATACGTTGTAATAAATTCGAATAAAATTTTTTTATATTTTTCCTAAAAACACTTATTGTATTTTATTTTCCTTTTAAATTATTTCAAATGAAGGAAAATAAGTAAAATGGGCTCAGATTCAAAACAAAATCCTTTAAGAGTGGCAAGCAAATCACTGACGTACTTCACTTGAAATGGCTGCAGGATCATCTACTGCCATCATCAAGTCCGAAGCTAAGAAGTTGAAAATGAGGTTCGTGATATCAGTACACACTGTCTTCAGCAAGTGCTTGGTAAGAGCAGCCTGGGTATCATCTGGAAAACAAAGGTACTTATAAAAAATAGTTTCTCTCCCAACTTAAGAGACTCATTAACAAGACGGTAATAGGTATACCTGCAAAAAATTTCATCCCTTTTTCAAATAATCTAATATTATTGTATAGATTGGAAACCTCTTCTTGCAAGTCCTTGATTGTGCGTTTTCTCCCAGTTCCAGAAGCAGAAGTTGAAGACATGAATACTGAGCGGACCACCTCCAGGTAAGTTTTATTAAGAGGTCTGTGCACAAAGTAAATACGTTCAAATTATTAAAATGTACTAGGGATTTATGTAGATTAGAAATTCTGCTTCTATGGACATCAGGCTAAAAAAGATCTCTATTTTTCAAACTAAATTGATTTGGAGACTAGTTCACAAAGAATTTGTCCTCTAATCTCAGAAATTATAATTTAAAGGAATTATTTTTCTAAATTTTAAAGTATTCAAAATTATTGCACTATAAACAACAAGAACAATAACAAAATCCCACAATTCTAAAAAGCTTGGCAAAATGTATTTGGAGAACAGTGGAATATAAACCTGTTCTCTATTCTCAGGAATCATAACATTAACACATTCTCAATTTCTCAAATACTAAAAGGTAAAACATTAAAAAAAAAACAAATCCTTTTTATACTCAACTAAATAATTATTTAAAAAAGCAATGATAAATGACTAACCATTTTTTTACATGTGAAAAATACGGTTCTATAATATATTTATGAATCAAAATATTTACTTATATTTTTAAAAGTTCTCACTACAAAAGATATACTTCTAAAATGAACTCTGGATTACATTTATGGAAGCTTACATATTGGTACTAACTTGAGGGATAGATAGGTTACTTAGTAATGGTCAAGTTGTCTAAATTTATTCTTTTTGGAGTCAGTTTGTTAGTATATTTTTTCCCTGAAAGTAAACACTGTTTACTTTCTGTCAAATCAAAATAGAAAATGAAGATTCTTCCTTTTGGAGTTAATTGTCACACTAGGAAAGAAAACAGCCAGGGATTAATGCTGACATTTTTCTCCCCAAATGAGAGTTAAGAATAGAAGATCAGTAATTGAGGACACTTTCAGGCTGTCACCTTTTACTTCCCATACCACCTTGTCCAAAGTGCTTAACAGATATTTGTTGAATTAAACTGCCTCTATAAGCGAATAAAATCTAGAATTTGGTGGCTAAATTAAATTCTAAACTTTGAAAAGACCCTGGAATGTTTTCTATGATATTGGTAAAAACTTGAATTTCTATAATAAAGCAAAAAATGTATCTTATACTTGCTTTATTAAATATTCAGCAAGTTCAGAAATAAACTCCTCGGGGGCATCTTGTATATGTTTTCTTAAATAATCTTCAATCTCATCCTGGAACATGAAAGTGATCTCTGGCTTCTTCTTTGCTATTATAGACATGAGATGGGAAAAAACCATTTAAAAAAAATCAAATAACAAGTTTCATTAACATACTTAATATTAGACTGCAATTCATTGACCACCTACCACTGAGAACTCTACTATTAATTTTTGTATTAGTAAAAATATTAATGTCACATAGCAATACCTAATGAAAACAACTTTAAAATTGGGATATATAGTGAAATTTCTTTTAAGTGAACATTTTCTAACTTAATTCACAAGTAACTATTTTCTATAAGTTAATAAAAAGTAATAAAGATGATTTTCCCCCTCATCAAAGTTGGATGATGCTATCAGCTAGAAGTCAAAATAATCAAGTAGACTGAAAAACATCCTTCAGGGAAGGATAATTTGTTTGTTAAACAATGGCTACTATGCAAT